GATGGTTTTACAGCCCCAAGCATGTGGGTGTCTATGTGAGTGTCAGCAGGCAAGGAAGAGTTTGCAGAGAAAGGTATCATTGAATGCCACAAAGCTTCAATGGTGTTAAGGTCAGTAATCTTAGAGGAGCTTCTAGCAGCTGGCACTCTGCCCCTGGCTCCCAGGTGGTGGTGGTGGTCCAAGGCTGTGCAACTCCCTACACCTGCTGCTGTGCTGTCTCAGAGAAATTAAAGCAGCTGGAGCAGAGCTGTTCAGACTGGGACAACTGAGGAAATGGCACCTTAATACATGCCAGTTACCTGGGCATCCCAGGATGGGAGCAGAGGGAGTTTACTGTGGTGGCTTTCATGAGCTGATCTAATATTTAGGCCCAGTTGAATGCATGAGCATTGGGCTGTAACCTTCCTCTAAGTTGCAGAGAGGAAATCTATATTACGAGCCATGCTTGGCTCCCTGCTGTGCTTTCATGATGCAGGCTGCACTGGAGACTTGCCGTGCTTAAGGTGCTATGAATTGGATCTAAGCATGACTTTCTTCTAATTCACAGTCAGGCACTGGACTAGATCTGTCTTTTGAGAATCAAAAGTATTAATAACTCCCTTAGACACAATTTGGAAGTAAATGAATACCTCAATTTTTTGGTGAATTTGAGAGTGTTATTTTACTGTATGGGGATGAGCTCTATTAGCAGAACATATGAATTAAAACAAAAGCAGCTTATTTGTATTGTGGTTAACTGTTCCTGAGACAAGAAAGCTCATCTAGTTGGGAATATGTGGCAACAAAGATTATAAACAGTGCGGTGGGACTTAATCTTTGGGTTTTATGTTTCTGCAAAATGGCTTTTGTACAGAAACATTTTCTTCTTACCTACAGCTGAAATTTGTCACCATGGTAACCTCCTGGGTTTGGAGGGGTGGGATGCTCTAGGCAAATAATGTGGCCACAACCTCAGGAATTGCTACCCAAATTGGGTTTCATTTCTCCTCTCTTTAACATCGATGACGTTCTTACATACTGGGCAGCTGCTCACATAACCAGATATGAGAGAGGCCATATGGATTTAAACTCTTGGTTTTTTAACTTGAAAGGAGCAGTGTTTTGGGGCAATTTCCTCACTTATTCAACTGGTTCCATCCTTTCCTGGCCAGTTCGGCTCTCTGGGAGCTGCTGGACCATGCTCTGCTCTGATGCCTACAGCATCACCTGCTGCTGCTGGGGGAAGGCAGAAATCCTAAACAGCTCAGCATTGGGGAACATACTGGTCATTTACTTGCCTCAATATACACACAGTTCTGTTTTGTTTTGTTTGATGTGCATGTCTGAGAGCAACTTGAGGCCTTAAACAGGTGGGATTTTTTTGATTGGTTTGGGTTTGGTTTTTTTTTGTATTCTGAAGAGAAAGGAACCTCATACAAATGTGATTAAGATTTCTGAAAATGAAAATATTAAAGCCTTACAGAACCTTTCCCCACAATATTATGTCAATGCAATATTATTTGAAGGACATGCCACCATCTGGATCATTTAACTTTTGATTTTTATTTCCCATTTATATGTCGAGCTGCTTCCCACTTGTTGTTCACTGCCCACTTGCTTTCTCTCTCTGGGTTTTAGGTTTTAGGAAAAAGGAGGAGGTTATGCTAAAAGCTCTGGACAAAGGCTGTGCAGACTGAAGTTGCAATTGGTGAACTACTGACTCGGCCACTAACTCATCAAGATAACCATGGCTGAGTCATTGCATGTCTTTCTGCCTGAGGTCCTAGTCTGTAGTTCTTCTTTTGCTTGTTGTGTGGGCACACAGTGTGGCAAGTGATGGTGCCAGGGATGTTCTTAATCTGTGCAGTAGTGCCTTGATTTTATCTGAAGCTTCTTGGTAGAGCTAATAAATAAACTGAATAAAATTGATTCAAGGGAGTGCAATAACAAGTGAAGTGTTGACCCTACCTGTTTGTTTGCTTTTTGAGAAGCTCCTGGTCTGCCACAGGAGCTATCAGTAAATAAGCCCCTCTTATTTGAGTATACTCACTCCTTTTTTCTCCCTGTGATTGACATTTACGTCTTCTTTTCCTTCCCCAGTAGGGTGGGGGCAATCAAAAACATTCCTTTATGTTAAGGCAGGGTGTTTTTGAAAGTGTTGTCTGAACTGGGCCAGCTCTGGCTTCTGTGCCTATCTTTGTCTGCTAATCTGAAGTACGTCAGCCTTAACGAGGAGAAGCAACAAGTTTAACAGCCTCAGAGCCAGTGGCAAGCAGAAGGAAGACTCCTTCAGGGCAGTTTGAGCACTAGGTCCACTTCTTGGCATCCAGCACATGAGGCTGAGGTCACTATAAATATGCAGCCACCCACCATACTGCTATCCCAGTAGGGCCTGGGGGCAGAAAGCAGCATTTTGGGGAGTTTACAAGGCAGAACAATATGGTGCACATAATAGCTGCGTTCACGGGCTACCATCCACCATCTTGCCTCCTTTACACATCTCCTCTCTTTGTCAAGGACAACACAGCATGAAAGGGGAAAGTGCATGTGCTGAGGGTGCAGTAAGCTCTCTGCTGTCTCTTACTCCCTTTCTCCTCTTCTGCTGCACATACCCCTCCTTTCATCTTGTTTTGAGTGGAGTGGTGCATTGCAAACAGACTGTTATTAGGAAAAGGACCTTGCCATTCAGAAGCCTATAGACACATCTCCCAGATTACCAGTATACCTTGCATCTGCAGAACTGGGTAGGGAAATTCATAAGAACATGTTTATCACTGAGAGATTTTTGAAGACACCTTCCTGTGAGGCGTATAACACAAAATGGCTCCCTCCAAAGGGAGCATCCCCCAGTGAACATCCCCAAAATTAAGGCAGGGAGGAAGGTGAAAAGCAATGATCTCCAGAGTTACCTGAATTTTTTTTCAAGTCACTTAAATTGTGTGCAGGCTCAGATTGGCATGGGGAATGAGCAGAGGTTGTGCTGGGTGCCTGTTGCATTCAAATAAATTGCTTATCTCCCCGGAGCCCCATCTCTTGTATGCAGCCAAATCATGTGTGTTTGCAGGAGACAGTATGCTTGTGTTTCTCCCACGACCCTGCTGGCTCATTAGTGTTATTTCTGGAGGTCTTGTTTCCACAGTAACAAGCAATTACCATTGTTCCTTGGACTGCCAAAGTTACCACCAGCAACGCAGAGGAAGACGCGTTATTCTCTATATTGGGATAAAATGCCTTCATATGTCTTGCTATTCACTGAATGCCAATCCTGACGCAGGTCCTGTGCAAATAGCACACTCCACCCCCTGCCAATGCTGCTTTTGCTGGTATTAAGACATGCCAAATTCTGAAATGAACCAAAATGATCTCCTCTGGACTGTGGCTACACTGGCAACGACAGGGTCAGGATTTCAGCAGCAGGATGACAGTACCAATGGTAGCTTTGGTAGGAATATAAATAGAATAGCTTGGAGGCAGTTCTTTTTGCAATCATGCTTAGCCCTGTTCTAAGTAACACTGGCTAGTGACGTCAATGAAATATACTCTCTGTCTTTACCCTATAGCTTCTACCAGTACTGTGATGGAGCTCCCACAGAGGACTCTGGTGTTCTTACACCAGTAGGGTGCTGAGATGTCTGTCTTGCACAGTGCCTTCATTATCCCTAATGGGCCATGTGTGTGTATCTGCTCCAACCATTTCTTCCATCAGTGGCTTCTCCTTTCCTTCTTACCTATACACTGTGCACAGACCAATTTGTCTAGAATGGCCTTTAAACCCCACAGAACATATCCTGAATTTCATGCACATATCAAAAGAGTAGGGAGCTGGGAAGCTGAAGCAACATGGGCTTTTGTAGGTGAGAGAAGAGGGGTACTGGAATGCTGGGGCAGCTGGATTACGTTCCTGGCTTGGAAAGGTTTTTATGGCTTTCAGTGACTTCAGTTTCCAAATGTGACTACATATTCTAAAAAACTCTGGAGCCCTGTTGTAAGCTCTGAGCTCCTCTTCACAGAGTTTTCTTGTGAATGGGTGCATGTATGGATCTACATATACACACCCACTTGCCCAAATGACTAATAGCATTTATTGGAGGGAGAACACAGCCTCTAGGCTCCATAAACCAAAGCATGAGGAATCTTGTTCTAAGGAAGCTGAAGCAACGAGATCAAGAAAGGCATTTTAAAACTGAGGAACTTCCTTTTGTGAAAGATCTTGGAAACACTTGCATTAGAGATTTTTAAAAGCTGGACTTACCAGAGAATGTAGAGGATGTTTTCATATCAGGTCAGTGTATGAGTGTATGAGGGTGACGGCAAACAAAAAGGATGCTGCTTTGAAAGCTACCAAGATTGTACTGCTTTAGATGTCCTTGAGGAAATAAAAATCCAAAAGCAAACACACTGTCTTTCCATAGGATGGAGAAAGGGATAGGCAGAAATAATTGTTGATAGGGTCCTTGATTCTTTTTTTTCTCTGATTCAAGTCCCACAGAGTCTGTGAAATGAAGGAGGAGGAAGGAGTCTAACACAAGTGGAAAGAAAGTGCCTGTGTATCACATATCTGTTCCAGAGACCAGGCCCAATGTATAAGTGTCTCTTAATTAGTAGGACTGAAGTGTTAGAAAGTCATTCAGTTTTCTTGTGGGCTTACCATGGAGTGAAGGCAGCACCAGAGAAAGGTTAAGAAGATATCCTTGGGCATGTGAGAGTGGTCCTACCTAATCAAACAAGCTTCTCTTCTCTTTTCTGTGGCGTCCTTCTAAAGCCTTGGTTTTTAGCACAGTCTGTATGATGGTGAAAAAAATAAAATTCCAATAATCTTATTTTCCACACATAAGCCAGAATCTAGTGTTTAGTTCTAGGTGACAGCTTGGGTGGTTCATAATGAGCCAAGGCTTGGTTTTGTATTGTAAAGAAAATATCCCATCTCAAAAATAACCCAAGCTTTGCTCCTTATCTGTGAGCTCCAGGGCACCCACTGGCATCCCACCCTTGCAGCAGGGTGGTGTGCCGAGCTGATCGGCAGACACTAGGTGGAAGCCTTGGGCTGTGGTTCCACCGCAGCTGCTGACGGCAGGGAGAACAGAGGACTTGTGCTTTCAGAAAGGAGATCTTTTTCTTTTCTTTTCTTCTTGCTTTCACATGCTAGAAGGGGAAGTCCATGCTCTCCAGGTGCGCAAAGGGGTGAGCGGAAGAATGGAGAAGTGTCAGTCCCATCCCGGGTCCTCCCTGCAACAGGATCTTGTGAGCAGGGCTGCGGTGGGAGCGCTGAAGCCTTCCGAGTTCTTGGGTGTGGTTGGGTGGCAAGATTGATTTAATTTATCCTGATTTATTTCATCCTCATGTAGATATTCTGATGGGAATAATTTTGACATCCCCAAGAATGCATAAAAAAGTATTAATATTGAGATGAAAGTGAGTACTGATGAGCTGATTAATTTTGCAACAAATGCTGGTAGAACCAGCTACGAAGTGCATGCTGTATTTATGACGATTGCTTTCCACAAGGCCTCCAATCTCAAAACTATTCCAAATACGGATATTTAGAGTTAGTACAAAGAATGAATCACAGGTTAAGTGAGAACCAGACAAAACTTGAAATGTTCATTTGAGATAAATGTCAAAGTTTATTATTTCAAGGCTTCTTGTTACTTTTAGTAATAAAAATACTGTTTTCAGTTTATTCCTAAGAATTGGAAATTATAAACATTTCAGTTAGGTACATTTAGAAAAATAACAGATCTTTTTGTTTTGAAAATTAGTTAAATTTAGGTACCATTTCACATATCACTTGTAATGCAGCGTTAGGTTATGCCAAATCAAGTCTCATACGAGGGCACGTTATGCAATCCTACCAGCAACATAGCATACCATGAATATAACAATTAAATATTCTGTTATATAATTTAGTACAGGTGAGATTTTATTTTCAAAACAAGTTATTTTTCTACCGACTAATGAGTTTTCTATCAAAAGTGATAGCAGCTCCGTTAATCTGTGCTGAATGGAACAATTTAAATTTTTACACTGAAATAGAAATGTTCTGGGTACTAGTTAGGGACCAAATGTTTTTAATATCCTAGAAACCTGATTCCAGACTAATGGCAGGATATTGAACACATCAGTGTCTCTCATTATTAACTGGAGAAAGTAAAGACAATACAGCAGTAAAATATGGTAAGAAAATAAAAGGTTGCTTTCAAAATTAGTATTTTAATTTGAAAGAAAATCTGTTCTTTTTTTTCTTTAGGCAAACTTCGCAATACTGAAAATTTTGTTTGAGCCTCCTTTTCCGTAGGGGTTTTTCATTTGTACTTATAATTTTTTGAAAAACGCTGATTTTATCAAAATGGCATTTTCTGGTTGAAGACTGTTTCGATCAAAATTTTCTCACTAGTGTGAGCTGTTATGACACTCTCCTCCTCCACCCTCTGAGCTGTGGTAAAAGGGTGAGTGAAGCTATTGATTTATCTTTCCTTATTTTTTTTTTTTTCAGTGCAGTGACTTCAAGATCTCCATGGCTGTTCTGCAGACAGATGCACAATTGTGAAACATCAATATGGACTGCAAATCTCTACTGCCAGTCAGCTCCTCTTACCCTCTGCATAACGTAATCCCTGTCTTCACAATGCCTGCACAGTTACACATTTGCAAAGATGTTTTTCTGGAGATAGTGTGCATAGGAAACACTCCCTTACTTGTTCTCATCTCCAGCAACATTATATGGAGTTTCAGTTCACAGTTCACTGTGTTCCCCCTCCTACCACTGAAATGCAGCCAACTCCGAGCTGTGGCTATTAAACATCACACAAGCAACACCATGAAACAGATTGTGGAAAGCAAAGGAATTCAGAGAAAAGCAACAAATTGAGTGAGGCCTGCAAGGGTTTTCTGGGAAGTGATTACAAAAGATCATAGGGAATGAGTAGTGGTTAATTGTGATGAAGAATAGCCATCACATTGATTTTCAGGTCATACCAGCACACAAGGTCGAGTTTTTGAGGGTGGCACAAAGAGATGTCACTAAGAACAGTCAAGTTACAGCCAGGGAGACGAGCATGTCATCTTCCCTAACCACTGAGTTTCTCAGACTGTCAGAGTCCCAAGGAAAGGGCTGCAGGCATCATTGCCTGAGGGTTTTAAAACTGGTCAAGGTTTCAAGAAAGGACAAAACACTATCAGGACAAATGAATAAAACAAGATGGAGCAAGTAGCCATACCTATCCCCACTTTGCATGAGCATGAAAAAACAGTTGGGAGAAAGGTGGCAAGGTCTGAAGGAATCACATGCACAAAGTTACAAAACAGTGTGAACTGGCATGACAACAGCTGCAACATGGCCAGGGAAAAGCTTCCAAAGACAGTACTCTACTTCAGCAACATGATGACCTTAGGGTGAGAAAGGAGGAAAAAAGGGAAAGATGTGCAGCAAATCAGAGGAAAGGAGAAATGTGTGTGAATGTATGTAGCTGTTTGTGTGTGTAGCACAACATGAATCTCATTCAGGTTGGAAAAAGCATTGTAGATGTCTGCATCTCAGTTTGCTCAGCCTAGTGGCTGGAAGAGGGCACCTTGGCACAAAACTTGCACATGAATTCTTGCTGGTTTAGGTAAAGTGATGAGTGGGGAAGGTTGCCAGACACTGTCACTGAGCATTCAATGGACAACTAAGAAGGAACTGCAAAAGTCTGTTCCCAACTCAAGTTGCATAGCAACACTAAATCGTCAGTTTGCTGTTATGTCAGTCCCTTACATTATCCCCATTATTACAGCCATTTTTAGGACTCATGCAGTATGATGTTACTAGCCCACTTCCAAGCTGGATGTCTGACCTTTGCCTCTTGCTGAATGATGCCATGTAATTTGCTTGCAAAGGTGTCTTGAAGCAGTACACCAGAGAGAAAAATCCTTGAAGATCCATCAACATAGACCTTAGGGGACAAAGGATGTGCCTGTGCAGGATGGGGCAGGAGAGACCCATCAGGGAGCAGCAATATCCTCGAAGAAGTCTAGTGTCTGCCAAACTTGACAGGATATATGTTACCCCATCACTTCTCTGAACTGAGTCTTCATTGATCGAACTAAAAGGCTATTTTGAGGAGTGAGACACAGTTGCTTGTAAGATATGTGTTTCAAATGCTTCCAGTGCACGCTGTGCTTGGTGTTTGGATCACTCCTGTGGACCATTACTGCTGTGAAATCCTACCTTCTAGTCAGCTGTTTCTTGCTTTTTAGTGTAAGCACCTTGTGAGCTATTTCCTGGTGGAGAAGCTGAAGCACAAAAGTAGTCACAACATCATCATCCTGTGATGTTTCAGACACTGCCAGTACCTGAAACAATACCTAGAAGTCTGCTTGTCTTGCAGGATGTTTCTAGTATCCTGCATAATTCTTTCCTGGATGTCTTGCATAGCATAGTATCCTCCTCCCTGTTTCATTCTAACACTGCTGCTTTTTCTGGCACAAGATCCTGAAATGCCCCTGCCATCTCTTTGCACCCAAGGCAACCAGGGTCACTGGATACCAAGGTGTAGCTGGAATTTCAAAGTGAATGAACTCCTTTACTGCAAGGGTTAGACTGACACAGACTTAAGACACTAGGTAGAGTGAAAATTTAACTTACAGGCCTTTTGCACTGGATGATGGAGTGTGGCCTGCTTAAGCAAGTAATTCTCAGTGATGCATCTCCTTTCCGAAGAGTGCCTGATTGTAAACTATACCAGCTTTTTCAAGATCACCACTGCAAATTATGAATGAGCAAACAGACCTCAGAAGGACAAGACAGATTGCCTGTCCCCCCCTCTACAGAGTAATGGAATTATTCTACTTCATTAAAACAACTGATGAGGAAACAAAGAACCTCAAGATTGAGTTCCTCTGTGTTTCTGTGCCCAGAATGCAGAGTGCACAAATGTCGTAACACCTGGACTAGGAGCTGCAAGTCACTCTTGCTTGATACTAAGGGAATCAAGCTTGGACAAGGTCTAATACAGCAGAAGATAAATGTCCATGCATGACATTGCTAAAAGAGATGGCCATGGATTCCTTGAGAAAGGAACACATCTTTAATGCAAAATAGCTTAGCAGTCCTTACAAAGAAGGAGCAAGAGGTGTTTGTCTGATTTTCAACTTCCTTCCCTTTAGTACTCCCATTAACAAGAACTGCTGGATGGGACACTCCAAAGAGCTTATTTCTCTCTCCAGGAGAGAGTGTCCTTCTCTCTGCCTGTATTTCAGATTTATCTTGCTTCCCTCTGAGTCTGAGGGATTTGAGATCATTAGTGAGACAGTTGGGTGTCAGAGTGGTCACTGGTACCCATCAGCTTTGTAGCTCAGTCATCCCAAGGACCACTCTCAGGAGGGATTTATCCAACAGAACAAATAGACTTTGATGCCCTGTAGCTGCTCTACATGTGTTTGTGATAGCCCTGGTAGTGCAATGAAGGAGTCAGTACTGAGTCTTAGGCTGTGCCACACAGAGTTTTGCATCACTTTGCTGCCATGGACTATCTGGAAGTACAGATACAAGAGACTGTTCTATGGGGCTGATTCATGTTTGAAAATTATCACACATTTCTCTTTTTTAACCTGGTCATCTAGTTCATGGTGGAGATATTGCTGAGGGTCCCCATTGAGGAGTGGAGGATTCTTTCATCAGACCTTACACTATGGTCAGACCTCTTTAAGATTTCTTGCCACGTTTATCAGTTTCAGTCTGTATGCATTACCAAGTACCATCTTTGCAGTGCCTCAGTTTTATTTGACAATCCGAGTTTCCTACGACCTTTTGAGGATAACATTTGCAGGTGAAAATGTGCTGAATAAGGACAAATGAGAAATGCAAAAGAAGTGAAAATAGTCAGGTTTTAAAGAGAATCATCTTCTGTCAGCATTGTTTGCATGTGTGCTCATTTCTTATAAACATTCAAAGGCTTGAGTTTTCTGTTGCTAGTATATGTGGAAAACAAATGTCAAGACTGCACATGAGTACTTTCCATAAATTAATATTAAATGTGCAGACACATTTCATCTCAAAGGGCTTGTACACTCTTCTTGTCAGAAAGCTGAATAAATAAAGATCAGAATCACCACCTAGAGCTGATGATTTCCATCTGTAGATATGAAAATGTTCTACAAGGAGGGTCAGGATCGTAGCCTCCAGTTTTGCAAATGGGACACAGTGCCTCAGTAAAGCCACTTGTCTGATAGCCACAGAGCTTCCACCTCTCTACCAAACCTACATTGGAAAGTGTGGATGCACATTTGATTATTTTCTCTTCTATCCTTGACTGCCCCTTTTAAAGGGAGTTACTCACCCTTTCATTTATTGCTCAAGACATGAAGCTGTCCGTCACCCAACACAGGTTGCTGTTCATCATATCTGTTCATGTATTTTCTCTCTGTCCCTCTCCCTCCTTGTCCTGCAAGCATGCCTTGCTGCTTTCCTGCAAATCACCTCTGCTTCTGCCTTCAGTGCCCCTCACTGTGAAGAATCTCTTCTCCCCTGAAACTCTTTTGGACTGGCCAGAAGCCTCCTGCAGCAAATTTCCTGGCGAAAGAGTCCTGATTATGTGATTGTGTATTCTGTACTTCTCTTACTGTCCTTGTCCTGTTCTTGAGGGTCTCTCATCTTCCAGGGCTGTCAGATGAAGATTTGTAGTTCGGAGTCCTCTCTGCTTTCTTGTGTGAGTTTTCATCCTGACAGTGCCCCAGACTGGGCAGAGATGGAGGATGCGGAAGGGTTATAAGGTGAATGTGTTTTTTCTTGACAGGGCAGATTTTGCTAACGGGCTTTACAAGGTTGCCTGTGAGGATGAGCTTGGTAGTAGCTTCAAGAAATGAAATTTAGTCAGAAGGAACTTGATCAGTGTCTAAAGTAACATGTATCAGAAGAGGTCTTTTGGGAACACCTTTTCTTTGTGGCTTTCCAGAAATTAACAAAGGGTGATTCAGAGAAAAAAATGGCAAATACAGTACTCAGCTACTTCACACAGTGGTTATTAAACCATAAGGCTTGTTCCCACTGCGTGTTCTGTATGCCACAAACTGAAGCAACAAATCCCAGCAGCTCTACAGAGTAAGCCAGTTTCCAAATTCTTAGGAATTAAAATGTTTCTCAAGCTGCCTTGTACAACTTCTTTTCAAGGGCTCTGAGGACATCACCAGTCATGACTGACCCTGCCCAGCATAATCCTGGGGCTCCTTCCACCCTGCCCAGGACCTCAGCCTCCCAGAGCCATCAGCCTCTGCCCCAGTGATGCTGCAGTAGGGCTGCACTCCAGCTCCCCACAGCCCTGCCCTGTTCAGCCTGCACCAGAGAGGTATCTGATGCCCAGGACTGGGGTTGTTTCTGATGCCCCCCAGATGCCCTGCTCCTCAGGTGGTCTGAAGAGATGTCCCATCCCTCCTAGGGCCCTGGCAGCTCTTACACAGTTCAGTGTGCACATTACTAGACTGTAGGTGCATCCTACTCCATTTGTGTGGTTTCTCTTAAGCCCTGTACAGGATATATCATCACATGCCATAGCCAGTAACATTTTTAAAATGGATGATTCTCTCCCAGCATACTGTTTTTATCTACAGCAAAAGCGTTAATGCCTGCCAGGATATAGAACTGATTTCAGAGACCACAAATGAGATACTTGGACTAGTAAGTCATTTTACCCATGCTCTTCCTCTTAAAAGCGATCATTGTTAGAAATCATTGATCTTTTCCTTGTCCTCTTAGTCTGACAATATCACAGCTCCAAAATGGGAAGCCTTGCTGTGTGAGCAGAGATACACAGATCAATACCCCTTCTCATGGCAGCAAGTGAAAATGCATGGTACAAAGGTAGACTTCCACAGCCCTGCTAGCAGGAACAGCTTGGAGTCAAGCATCAAATGTCACGTCAGTTGAAATGAAGAAAGTGAATACAGATTTATATATCATGAATCTGCCCTGTTTAGCAGTTTAAGCATTATTATTTGGAGGATAATTGCAACATTTCATTATAAAACTTCTAGAATTCTAGGGAAAAGAAGGGGAATGAAGCTAGAAATATCTGTCAAAATAGCTCTATCTCACAGTGTTTGGACACATCCATTTCAGAAAGGCGGGTGGTCAGTCAGACTAAGGAGATCCATGCTTTTGTGAACATGCACATATGCATACTGAAACTGCAGGCTACAATATTTTTGTTCTAGATTTGCCAGCATATATATTAAGGC